CCATTCATGTTTCGTTGATAAATCCGTCGGTAAATATGTATTATCAAAACACTATAATCTGTCGGTAATTATCCGTCAAAAATTTATGTTTTTACTATAGTGTTAAGGAGAAGTCAGTCAAGGTTAAGAAGAGGTAACCATAATGAAAAACAAGTTAGACAAAACAATGGAGAAGTTTGCCAAGGCGAAAAACATGACAACCACAATGAAAGTAAATAACCCGACTTTATGAAAGGAGTAAACTCGGTAAGAGATGAAAGATGGAAAAACTTAAGTTTATGGGGGATTTTTGTTTGGATAAACATAAATTTGGGGTTTATTTTGTAATTTTGTTGAAGTTTTACTTTTCGGTTTTATGTTGTCGTTTTAGTTTGCTAGTTGTCACGTGTGGTTTTTTATTTAGTTTTTTGTTGTAACGAGTTTAGTTATTATAGAGCTCGGCCAATATTATTCCTTGTAACTGATTAGTGTTCGTTCGAATATTTAATGGCTTGTAGTTATTCAATGGAGACATAGAGTTTAATTTATATCATATTTGTGTGTCACTTACTTTTACACGATGTATGTCGCTTTCGAGTGATTCTAGTGGTTAGAGCTGAATTCACGTTTTGTGGATATTGTGTACGGTGGAGTTGGTTCTTCTTCTCAATTGTAGTGTAGAGAGGATCGGTGGAACTCTGGAGGTGCACAATTCTATCAATTAAGGTGTGTGGAGGAATTTGCAAAGTGCGATGGCTACAAGGTACAGATGTTTGATATATGATGGTTTTTTTTTTCACAAGGCTCACACGATGGTTTTGCGTCGTGGGTTGTGGTGTAGTGGCGACAAGGTTCTGCTGCTCCGATGAGTGATGAATGGTGGAGCTGAGTTGTGGTGGATAGTGGTATTCGACAATGGCTCTTTTTTGAAGACTAAGCAAGGTTGTGTGTTTTCATATCTGCATGAGGAAGAAAATGATCATGTGGTGACTCCTTATTGGAAAATTATGAGTGCTAGGATGAGTCTTTTATGAGTGTAATTTATACTTGGGTATGGGTTAGTATTGATGTAGGGTGTATGAAAATTCTTGGAATAGTTTAATTCCAAGTTAGTATGCTCTTTTACTGTGGAGTGTGATTCTTGGTGTAGGCAATGAATGAGTTGATTTTAATTAAGGAAGATTTTGTTGAGTATGATGAAAATATGCATCTTGTAAAGTCTTACATCTCTTAGGATTATGTGGTGTAATTAAATTCTTGCTTTGAAATGTGTAGGTGTACTTAGAGTCAAGCATCAAAAAGTTCAAAATGTTTTTTTATGTGTTTTACAAATTGGAAAACGTTTCTTTGACAACCTTATTTTGCCAACTTTTTGACAACGCCACATGGCGATTGTCTATTGGTGTTGTTCAACTTGAATTTTAGGGTTAAAGAATGTAACGTTGGGGGTATTTTTGGAAGGGGAAGGCAGAGAGAAAAAAACCCAATTGTTTTTCGCGGTTTTCCTTGAACTCTTGCATTGACACTTTTCCTTGAACTCTTTCTCATCTTCCCCTCTCATCTTCCCTCTTTTTGTTTGTCTCTTTGGCATCCACCATTGTTGCTCATCCAATGTTGAGGCTTTTGTAAGGTTGGGAGTTTAAAAAGGTTGGGACTTTTCAAAGGTTGAGGCTTTTCGAATTGGGACTTTTCGAAGGTTGGTGTTTTTTGAAGGTTGGGGCTTTTCGTCTTCCCACACTGTCTTTCCAGCACTCCATGACTGAGTAAAGGTTTCGAAGGTTGTGGCTTTTGACATTGATCGAGTAAAGAAATATGTATGCGACTGGATCCTCAACAACGACAACATTAGAAGAATGGAAGCACTACCGGAATTTGGATTGTTATGGGATTGATTTCATTTGTAGAGTTTTTCTTTGTATGTAGAAAAGGATGGATTTTTGTTTTTGTAAGAAACAATGATATTTATGTAAAGATTCTTATTGCAATATAATGTTAGCTTTCATGGACTGCCCAAACATGACTTCCAGTCTCTACTCACACTTAAAAACTAAAAACAAGTGTCAACCATTGGATAAATGTCAAAAAATTAAAAATATTGACTATGGTGAGTCAGGTTACCACAGCTGGCTCCTGCAATACAAGTTTCTGTACAAAACCCTATTTTTGTTCACGTAATCGTTTACGAGTTAGTTGTAATCGATTACCAGTGTGTTTTTGGCCTGCACAAGTTTCAGGACTTACCCTAACTTGGTCATCTCACAAACATTGTTTCTTTCCTCCATCATGGACTGTCCAAACATGACTTCCTAGTCTCTACTCACACTTAAACACTAAAAACAAGTGTCAACCAATGGATAAATGTCAAAAAAAATTAAAATATTGACTATGGTGAGTAAGGTTACCACAGCTGGCTCATGTTGTACAAGGTTCTGTACAAAACCAGATTTTTGTTCGAGTAATCATTTACAAGCTCCTTGTTATCGATTACAATGGCCAAAAAGGCCTACACTTGATTACCAAGGCATAATTTGAAAGGTATTTGAGTCTAGATTCCAACAAAATAAGAATCAACTCATTTGGAGTTCGGTGAAGAAAGTTATGAGCAAAACAACCAGCAAAGGTCAGAGGTGACAGGAATGTATAAAACGTTAAGTTTAAGGAATTAACTTCACCTACTCAGATTACAAAAAAATAAAAAATTAGTAGTCATTAGAAAGAGTTTTAAGTCTATTTTCTAATAAAAAAAGAATCACATCATTTGGAGGTATGTGGGAAAAGTTATGATTAAAATAGTCATCAAAGGTCAAAGTTGACATGTTATCTCACTCAAATTGCCTTTGGGGAATGACGTTCTCATAGGTGGGTTCAGGACTTAGCTAACATGATCATGACACCAACATTGTGTCTTTCCTCAACCATGGGTTGCCCAAACCTCAGTTTTCAGGCTCTACTCACACTTAAACACTAAAAAGAAGTTTCATCCATTCAAGAAATATGATAAAATTACGTAAAATGTCTTTGGCTACTTATGTGCCCATAATTGGCTCTTGAAGCACAAGTTTTTGTACAAAACCAGATATTTTTTCATGTAATTGTTTACAAGGTCCTTGTAATCGATTACAAGTGACAGAATACCCTGCAAATGTTTGAAATCCAATAAAATTTTGTCAATTCCTCATTATTAATGGATGATAGTACACTTTGTTTTTAAAGTTCCAAACAACAAATCACTTGATAATGCCAATAGGGAAAGGAATAACACTTCAAATAACATTCACAATAATGAATTCAAATCAAAATCCATCTTCATTAACGTTAAAAAAATGTTACAATACATTATTTTGTTCATCTATGTACAATGATCTCTTACTTCTAAATACACAAATCACTCATGTTTCGTCGTATTTCTAGTGTACGAAGTCATAAGGGCTCTACTCTTTCGTGATTCGACCCTCACAAACCTCTCTCTAATGGGTTAGTTGGTGTAAATGCCTCCCGGGCTTACAAAGGGAGTGTTCAGGTGGGATTCTTGACGAGCCCTGTGTTCTCCATCATCTTTATTCCTCTGTTTATTCTTCTCTTCCGCCAACTCGGCCTCCAAAGCAATAAAAACACAATCAAACAAAACCCCAAAACCAAGAAATAAAACCCCAATCAAACAAAACACAAAACAAAAACCCAAAACCCAAAACAAAAACCTAAAGCCAAACCCATAACACATTTAAGAAAATAAAGAAACTCATTTACCTTGCTCGAACCACTAGCGTCATCGGAGGTTGTCATTGTGCACAATACCGTCAACGAGAGCTTTTGGTCCGTCCCACGAAATTGAGGAGGTTGAACAAAGTTTTAGAGAGGACGAAAATGAAGGGAGAACGAAAATGAAGAGAGAGAACGCAAAATGGGGAATAGGAGAGAATGAAGAGATATGACAAAGGCCTAGGGATAGTTTTGGAATCAACAACTTCTGAATCCTAAGCACCCTTCCACGTCACATTTTTGCATTACATTTTTTTTCCAAACGAACCAATCTTGTGCTGACACCTGGCGTTGTCAAAAGGTTGGCAAAGAAGAGTTGTTAAAATATAGGATCCATACAAATTTTTGTTATTTTTTATTATATTTTCCACAACTGTTGTAGGTTTTTTTCTTTTTTTATATTTAGAGTTTAGTAGGATGATTATTGAGAGAACATATCGTTCGTTCTTTACAGTTGGCTTCTTTCCTTTCGTCATCAGTTACTTTAGGATTTTCTTTAACTTTTTTTTGTTAGAATTATTTTGGTTACCTTCTAATACCTGTATATTTTTAATAGCATAACAATTTTTTCATTCTCACCCCAGTCCATCCTTCCCATGCGACAATCTGTCTAAGACTCTTTTACCCTATTAACAAAGTGTAAAACTTTTTATTCAAAAAGAAAGAATGTGGTGAGAATGACAAATGAAAAATAATTTTTTAGGTTAATTTTATTTTAATTTTGTCCATCCTTTTATCTTTCCGTTAATTGCAAACCGTCCTGGTTAGTCAGTTCTTCTGTATATATTTTGTCATAGATTCTATTTCCAACAAAATTTGAAAAAAATAGAACAACGAGAATATAAAAATTGATTCATTCCATTATTATATCATACGTTTTATTATTAAGTAATTTTTAATTATTATCATTATTAATTAATATAGATATTGTCAGGTTTAATTAGGGTCAAACTATTGAACTTCAATCTAATGTCTTAACTCATTGAGTGAAAGTATATGGTAAAACACCGTTTAGGAATTAACATTTTTTTTACTTCAGAAAATTCAACAGAAATTTCCAAATGAAAAACCATAAATGTTAACCCATTACCCAGAACTTCGAAGGACATTAACACTTTTCCAGATTTTTACTTAAATGACACGCATTAATATTTTCACACAAAAATGTCGTGCACATCATTTTCATGGTCTTCACACAATATATTTTCAGAAAAACTATAACGATCAATCCACAATACAAACATGCTCAATGGAAATGCCAAGAATGAACATTGCAGGGTATGAAAATTGTTCCAACATAATCGTCATGAAAATTTCCGAAAATTTTGTGTTGTTCTGATCACTCATTTACAAACATAAAGCGACCCTTTTGAAACTTTAACACTCCACAACATATCTAAGATGATCAAACAAAATGGGTTGAAAACAGTACTCCAACCAATTCATCTCCAGCAATCACTTTTACCAGCATTCATGTGCATCACTTCACAATGGTATGCACACTACATTTCCATCAAAATACCAAAATTCAGAAGAGACAAACTTCTTCATGCATGTCCAAAGACCAGCCTTAAAGCAATATGCAACATCACTTGCATCCGTATTTACAAAACTACAAATTTAAATGCTTACTTATCAACAATGTTGGGTTCCTCGAGTAGACATAGACGACACAATTGTTCGGTTCCTCAATTCAACATCTCCACTAAATGTTAGACTCCTGACTTGATGAAGTTCTCGCTAATAGAACATGAAATTAAGTGTTAAGTAATAGACAAATAGAATAATTTTTCAATAATGAAAAAATGTGAGGACGTGATTAAATATATAAAATGTTTAATTTCTACCTTAGTTCCTATAGTTACAAACATATTAACTTTTATTCTTTATAATTATAAAAATTTCTGTTTAGTCCTTACAAGTATCATTTTAATGCAGTTTAGTCTAATGAAAAAAATTAGAGCTGCATGTACATAAATTAAAATAAGACATTCTTAAGTTTTGAAATTAGAAAATGAAGTTTTTATGATATCAAACCATAGAAAAGGAGCACACCTCTCAAATTACTTGACTATAAAACAGGACAGTGTGTTTCAATATGTAGATAGGGCACATGTTTGACCATGAAATACTCTTCTCCTCCATTGGGGTCAATCCTCTGGTGAAATGCAGTCGACATATAACAGATCCAGAGATATTGGAGTTTCTTTAAGTGTTGAATGCCAGAGGGTACCGCATTCAGTTGTGGAATATTCATTATCGTAAGCTTTTCCAAAGATTGCAGTGCCCCGCTATCAATAAAGACGGACCTCAAATCATACAAACTAGTAAACCCCAGTTCCTTTAGTTTTAGAAATCCTTCATTTTGAAAATGTAAAGTTTCTCCTTCATAAGAAGAGAGGCCGAAAACGAGGATCAACAAATTTGGCATATTTCCCAAAGATATCAACGGAATGTTAGTTAACGCGGAATGAATCAATGTCAAACTCACAAGATTTTGGAACAGTGGAATCCCATTTGGGAACTCTTTTAATTTGCCCCATAGAAGAAGCTCCCTTAGTTTAAACAAGGATAACCTAATGTGCAAGTCAATTGCTTCAGTCCCATATTGTAAGGAGATATGCAGTCGCTCCAAGAGTGGCATCTCGTTTATTGAGGAACAAAGAGTATCCGCATGATCTCCCCTAAGATTAACAAGCCTCAGATCCCTTAATTGCTTTAGCTTTCCAAGCTCCCTAATAACTACTCCATTTGGATCTATTATCAATAAATGCATCTTTTCCAGGGATGTTATGCTCCCAAGACTATCCTTCACTTCAATGGAAGATAGTAGGCTGCCCAATAGACAACGTAGCTTTCTCAGCTTGGTAATCTCCTTCGGTATCTCAATCTCCTTATCTGTTCGTACATCTAGGGTCTCCAAGTTCTGGAGCTTACTAATGGATTTTGGAAGGCCTTTTATCGATGTACCCCGAAAACTTAGATACTTTAAGTGGATTAAACTCCCCAAATTTTCAGGAACATCATATAATGGAGCATATTCAAAATCCAGCACCTTCAATCGCATGTATTTTGCAACCAAGCGCCTGGTGAAGTCTTTCGATGACACTTCATCTGTAAATATTAGAATTGACCGAACATATTGTGATTCTTCGATAGATCCACTTAAACAATTGGAATTTCTTCCTATTGTTAAGCGTCGAATGATACCACTTGACTCCAAATGATTATGCTCATCAATATTGTGACAAAAATCCGTATTCTTCATTTTTCCACGGATCATTTCATGTATTAAGTCATGAACACGACATGCTTTAGCTTTGCCATCTGTGGTAAATGATGATACTAGTACCAAACTTCGACTGATCAACTCCATTAAATGTTGTTGCGCAACTTCTTCTAGATTTCTTCCACTTTCATGTTTCACAAACCCTTCAGCTATCCACTGCTCAATTAATCTACCACATTTAACTTCGCAATCTTCTGGATACATTCCGAAATATAACAAACATGACCTAAGATTCTGTGGTAAATCTTCGTAACTCAAACTTAAAATTTTTTTTACACTGTCTAACTCGGGATTCCTCTCCATCTCTAAACTTAAATTTTGTCTAAACAGGCCCCAATCAGATGGACTTTTACATTTTCTATACAAAAGACTACCGATAGCTACAATTGCCAGAGGTAAACATCCACACTTCCTAACAATGTCCAGACCTACTTCTTCATAATCTTTTGGACAACATCCATCAAAATCCTTTCCAAACGCCTTCTTACATAACAACACCAATGATTTTTCTTGACTTAAAGGTTGTAACTTATGCTCCTCAAAAAATACAGCTTTTTTACAGAACTTCACAACTTTATCATCCTGAGTAGTGATTAATATCCTACTTCCATTTTCATTATCAATCAGAGCCAATTCAATGTCATCCCAAAATGTTTCATTCCATACGTCATCAAACAAAATAACATACCTCTTGTGGCATAAGCGGTTTCTGATTTCTTTTATCAACGAAATTCGATTCATAGTTTGAACAGCGGGAGGAGGATTCTCTCTTCTTTCTTCGCAAAGTTCTTTAATCATATCCCTCAGTAGCCCTTCAACAGTGTAGGATCGAGACACTGTGATCAACGCATGGCACTCAAAGTCTTTGACTCTGTCAAAAACTTGCTTAGAAAGAGTGGTTTTTCCCGATCCTGCCATTCCTACAATAGAGATGACAGTGCGTTCTTTCCTTCCCTTTTCCAACCACTCTGTCAATGTTTGTATAGGGCCTTCAAAGCCAACAACCTCGTTTTCCTTCATAAAGAAAGGATCCATTCGAAGTTTATGCCATGTGGAATTTTCATTTCCTCTAGAATCGTCTGATCTTGGTTCTATAGGAAAACAATTTTTAAAGCGAACCCTTTCCGCACGAACAAGTGTCTTAACATCCTGAATCCGATACGCTACTTGAAGGCGAAGGATTTGAGTTTTGATGATTTCAACAGTCTCACAGAGTAAATCTGCGCACCGAGGATCTTCTTCAGGTTGTTTTTCGTCACATATCACATAGTCATCGATTACATCTTCCATGCGAAAAGCTGCTTCTCTCAGCTTCATCAACATTTTTCTTATTCTATCACGCCTATTGTTATCTTTTTCAGCTTCAGCCACTTTATCTGCATCATGGATGAAATCTTGAAAGCTTTCTAGTTCGTCTGTAAATTCTGCAACTTCTTTTGGGAGATCAGTCAGCAGCGTCTTTACAGCTTTCAAAAATTTTGCAGTCAAATGACAAATCGCACAACACACTGCAGTTTCTGCCATTATAGTTTAGCTCTCCCTCTCTTGCTTTGTTGAAGTGGCAACTGTAAAACTTCATGTTCTTCAACACTATATATATATATATATATATATATATATATATATCAAACAATACACAGTTTATTATAATATATTTCATTTTTCTCTATTGCCTTTTAAAATCAAGCATGCATGTGATGTGATGTTTTTACAATTAATCTTAACCATATAATTACAATAAATAATTAAAACTATATACAAAATAAAACAAATATGAATAAGTTGACTCGGTTTTCATTTTGTCCCTACCTCTTTATCTGTATCATAAATATTTTGTTTTATAATGCTAGTGTTCACACATATTTAGTGCATTTTCTATGAGGAGAAACGAAGAATGTCTTAAAACCATACCCAAATGCCTTCTTACATAACAACTCCAATGATTTTGCTTTACTTAAAGGTTGTAACTTATGGACCTCAAAAACTAAAGCTTTTCCACAGAACTCCACAACCTTCTCATCCCGGGTAGTGATTAATATCCTACTTCCATTTTTATCATCAATCAGAGCCAATTCAATGTCATCCCAAAATGTTTCATTCCTTACGTCATCAAACAAGACAACATACCTCTTATTGCATAAGCGGTTTCTGACTTCTTCTATCAACGAGATTTGATTCATAGGTGCAATATCCCGAAGAGCATCCTCCATTCTTTCTTTGCAAAGCTTGTTGGCCACAGCAACTCTGCAACGTGTAGGATCGAGACACCGTGATCAACGTATGACACTCAAAGTCTGTATGTATCCTAACAAAAGGTTTAAAGAATAACTCGGATGTATTATTTCAAAGAGTAGAGTACCATATATATATATATATATATATATTCAATTCAAGGATCCTATAATTCTTCATCTATTAAATGAATTTACATGTGTATAAATCTGCATAAATTATAATAATATCTAAATTATAACTAATACATTGATTGTGTAATACTTTTTAATAGAATATTTAGCATATCTTAACATACCGTGTCAAAAACTTGCTTATAAAGATGGTTTTTCCCAACCCTGCCATTCCTACAATAGAGATGACAGTGCGTTCTTTTCTTCCCTCTGTCAACCACTTTTTCAATGTATGTATAGGGCCTTCAAATCCAACAACCTCGTCTTCCTTAATAAAGAGAGGATCGATTCGAAGTTTCTGCCATGTGAAGTTTTCATTTCCTCTAGAACCGTCTGATCTTGGTCCTATAGGAAAATGGTTTTTGAAGCCATCTCTTTCGGCATGAACAAGTGTCTTAACATCCTGAATCCGATACGCTATTTGAAGGCGAAGGATTTGAGTTTTGATGAACTCAACGGCCTCACAGAGTAAATCTGCACACCGAGGATCTTGTTCAGATTGCTTTTCGTTGCAGATAACATAGTCATCGATGACATCCTCCATGCAAACAGCTGCTTTTCTCAGTCTCATCATCCTTTTCCTTATTCTGTCACGCCTATTTTTATCATCATCAGCTTCAGCCACTTTATCTGCATCTTGGATGAAATCTTGAAAGCTTTCTAGTTCATCCGTAACTTCTGCTACTTCTTTTGGTAGATCTCTCAGCATCTTTACAGCTTTCAAAAATTTTGGAAGCACATGCTGACTAGCAAAAGACACTGCAGTTTCTGCCATTTTAGTCTAGCTCTCTTTCCCGAGCTTTGTGGTGGTGACTATTGTAAAACTTTATGTTTTTGAACAATATAGCCAATAATTGTAGCTAGCCAAACAATACACAGTTTATTATAATATCTTTCGTTTTTTTCTGTATAAAATAAAAGCATGATTGATTTGACTCGGTTTTCATTTTGCCCCTAATACATCTTCGTTATCTACATCTTATCGATAACATATTTTGTTTGTGTCGATGCCATTTTTCTCCCTGAACAACACTATCTACGAGAGTAATTTCATTTCAGGAATCATTTGGTTCTAATACATCTGTTTTTGCCTTTCATTACAGGAATAGTTTCATTTCATTCTACTGTTTAAAGCTCTTTAATCTACCATTTTTCTCCCTGAACATTATCTACGAGAATCAGCTTCTTAGTCTGCTAATGTAAGAAAGAAAAGGCTAACCCACGTGCCAGATATCTTTTCTCGGCTTTTTCTTTCTTCACCTGCATAACTGTTAACTGCACTCCATGAAATTTAAAATACCCGTTTTACTCCTTGATATTTTATCTGCAAGCTACCCCTCCCTTGATCACAGCCGCTGTTGGATTTATCCATGGAGGTTCAAGATAGAAGTATTCCGGCGAGTTTTAATGTCGGTGGTGGTGATTTGAAATTGGATAGCATCGGATACCTAAAAGTATAGTCAAGAATAATTATATTATTGGTTCGGAATGAAAAATTTGAAAACCTTTCAATAAGTATTTTCAGAAATCAGATGTTATCCAAAAGGTATATTCCAGCAGTTATTTTCAGTTCCGGAAGACATAATCCAAATAGTAAAATATATATTTTGAATTGAGCGTTCGGAACATATATTTTCCCTTCCGGATTAAGTGTTCCAGGAAAAAGAAATTTGAGTTGTAAATTTTGCAGAGCAGAAGCAACCAACGATGCCTCGCTATGATGATTAGTATGGAAATAATCGCCTCTGCTGGGAGCTTGTCTTTAGACTTGAAGTGATTCTTCAGCAGATATGGAAGGTATTCACGTTGAACAATTTCATATCACCTAATATTCAATGTTTAAAACAGTTTAAATATTTTTATCATTTTTACTTTTTGAAATGTTTTCTAAAACAAAAATATCTTAAATGTAGAGTGATTGATTCTAATACAAATTTTAATCAAATACGCCTGTGAGCTGCAATTGCAGTCTCAGTGACTTAAAATACCTTGATTATTTATCTTTTTAATTTTCACAGCATGATTATTTATTATTCCAACTTTCCTTGGGTGCCTATTTTGGTGAATGGCTTTATTTTTTTAGTCCTTAATTTGTGTCTAAGAGTATGATATACAGGTTTCTTCCAAGCTTTATGTGGTTTGGATTTATAGTGGTTATTCGCCAAAACTGAAGATGGATGCAAATGGCCATCGCGGCGCCGCCAATAACGGTGCTGATTCTGAATGTGAAGCAGCTATCACGAATGCTGCAGTTACCACTGTGATTGTAATCCATGGCTGTTAACGGATTGAACTCATTGGAATGCATTGTCCAGCACTGCAATACACATAACTGTGTTTTAAAATTGTTTCAGTAACATGGTCGAGGTCAACTATCTTCAACACCAAACTTCAAACTGTCTTAGCAATTCAAGTCTTCACTTCGATACTCCTTACACCAGATTACATTACATGTAAAAGATTCCAATGCTCAAGTCGACATATGACCGTTTAATAGTCAAAGTCAATTCTCATTAGTGAATAAATGCACACCTACCTATTTAACTTAAATCCATATTTATAAGTTTTTGAAAGAACTTTTAATTATTAGTCTAATCACAGTCTAATAGTTGATAAGCATACTTTATCTCTAAACGTGTTTAATTTTCAATTCTGATCACTCATTAGTTGATTTACCGGTTGGTCAATGTTTGTCCAATGAGGAAGTAACTATGGGTATGAGGAAGTTGACTATTGGCGCTTCCCCGCTTCAACATGAACTCAAAGGACAAAATTTATATCTAGTTCTGCATGTCTTGTTTCTTGTTTGTACTATGCTCCAATTACAATTGCAGGTTCATCTCATAAAATGCATACTCCTTTAAGGCAAGCCTTTATTTTGATTAATGCCAACATAACATTCTAATTATTAATTAAAGAACAGTAAAATAGCACCCACATTTGTTCATGAAAGGACTCCAATCTAAATTAATTCAGTGAAACAACTTTGACATGGGAGTAGTGTCACTAAGCTACTCAAAATTGCTTGTTCCATGGGGATCCAATCGTCCAAGGAAGCTGCATATTATTTCAATTATACAATAAAGTCTTGGTCATCCAATGACAAAAGTTTAAGCTCACAACATCGTTAATTACAAAACTAGTAAGCCCACAGTAGAGAAAACTTATTTCCTTTTAATACTTTATTCAAATCATAGGATACCTTTCATGTACAATCAGATCTTGCAAGTGCACATATCAAATGTCAACAAAAAAAACTGGTAATATTGCAATAGGTCAGCAAGAAAAGGAAAGTAAAAAAACTCTTATGAGAAGGGTGATCCATACGTGCTATGAAATTTAGTTACATTCTTACTTTTGTCAATAGAAGAAATGCCATAGAATTCTTCTAGGTACGCCAAGGCTTCTGAGTTGCTGTTACAAACCTTCCACAATGATGCGACCTCTCCTTTAGAGACCGTTCCCCAACCCTCGCAATCATCCAAAAAGTCAAGCAGCTTTGAATAAAATGAATCATAGTTCATCAAGAGCAAAGGAATAGGAAGCTTTGATCCAATCCGTTCCAGCTGAATCAATGCCAGCATCTCAAACACCTCATCTAAAGTACCAATCCCACCAGGAAGGGCAACCACAGCAGTCTTATCAAATGAATTGTTCCTCACTACAGCATCCACCAGCCCATGCTTCCTTGCAGAGAAAAACCTGAGCTCAAACGTTAGAACACTCCAAGCAGCCAATTACATACATGTCAATTGAACAAGTTATTGGTCAACGGTTGAGGATTACCTGCAGGTGAGGTAATTTTCTGATGGTAAGTATGCATGAAAATTAGATGCTGTCCATTCACCAGCTTCTTTTCCTATCTTGAATCCACCAACCGGTTTTCGTGCTAGCATAGCACCCTGAGTAACGGCATCCATTAGCCCTGGTCCAGCCCCTGACCAAGTAGTGCAATCCAAAAGATTTGCTATCTGCACAGCAGGATATATGAAAACAAAATAATCATAACTAGTAAAAACCTTTGCCACTATCACCGCTGTTAACACCAGAAACAATGTTATAAGGTAACAACTGAATGAGATCTTATAGAATATCCACCAGCATGTATGCTGAAAAAAGAGGCAGGAAGCTATCGTAAGAATTTACTTGCCTCTTTAGCCAGCTCTTGTGCCTGCACATAATGTGAATGGCTGGGTCCCATCCTTGAAGAACCCAGATACACAGCTCCTCTCCCTAATCTGTCTATGAGTTCATAACATTTTTTAATCTCTTCTCTAACCTGTAATATTGAAAAACAGAAAAGAGAGTGAGGAATCAATTTCCTGGAGTTTCACTGGAATTACAAACATTTTTTTTATATGAAGTTAAACAAGAGGGGATGAATTAACGGCACAGAAAAACTGTGTAAAGTGTTTTTCTAGTGAACTGAAATATGTAACAATTACGATTGGTCCCTGCCATTACACACTATTATTTCGGTATTGCTTCATAGAGCTGCTTCAAATATCAAGGGTTTGCACTAGTTATAGGCACCAGAGATTGAAATATTAAATCCAAAAATCCTTAGAGTGACACCTGCCTGATTAAGCCAAAAATATATTGCCCCAATCTAGACCAAATAGAATATACAGTAGGTCATGCAACACTATGCATCATATATATAGCATCTCACATTTCTTAAGCTCACACCTTTTAATCTGGTTTATCCATGATATTTATTATTAATCAATACACCATCCACCAAGTTCAAGAAAAAAGTACCAAAATTGAGAACAAATCTAAGAACCAATACTCTCCATGGCAGAAAAATAGCAAGGCGACTAGTAGACATGTTAGAAGCCAACAATTATTTAAAACCATACTAAAATATGAATCACATGACTAGCAAACACAAAACCTTCTAGATTCAGATCATGGTATAAGTTATTTTCCAAATAGAAACGTAAAATTTCAATTAGAACTTCGTTTTTCATAGATTAAGGGGATAAATAAAAGAAGGTAAGCATGATCCAGAGTAATTCATCTTTCTTTGTTTGGTAAAATGTAATTCAATTTAAATTGAACTGCTGGGATTCTTCGGTTCATCTCATCCAAGTAAATCTCACCATCTTTATGACAATATTTTCAACAATTAGGTCCGGTACAAGCAGAAGAATTTCTCTAAACAATCATCACTTAATAGAAATCTCATTAAAATTATCAGTTTATCACCAATGATCATGACTGACTTCCATAAGAGTCACCACAGCAATCACCAGTCATTTTCACAAATTTTGTTTGCAACTACTTTCTGAAAGGAATCTAGCCAAATTGCAACCTTACTCTAGTCCTAAAACCTACACATTTTTATGTTAACGGGTTCCAGTTTCCCTACCAACGACCTTAACATTCACAACAACAACAGAAGAAGCACTTCAACTACAAAAGAAATCAGTTCCACCAGCAAAACGGAAACTCAACAGAATAAATATTCCTATCTTCCCATCACTGTAGCACAGGCAATTCTTCTATCAATTATCAACAACATATTCCCAAAAATAGATTCAATTGAGCACATCCTTACCACTGGACACACCCTTTGAACTAAAACATCACAAAGCTATCAGTTGTCACCCCTACTGCTTACACGGATTTAATCCCTACTCTTCCAAGCAACCCAATTAAACAGAAACTTTCATATCACAAAAGGGTTTCAACTTTCACCAATTCCCATCAAATAAGCAAAAGACACTAACTTTAACAACATGGTAAATGCTACCTCATCTGGGCTCTTCCTCTCATCCAACTCACTGAACTCATGCTTGCTTAGAGAGATTTTTCTTTGAACGACCTTGTGCTTTGAGAACTTGAAACCAATTTTACTGTTCTCTTCTCTTCTGTACAAAAAGTGGCACTTGATTCTTGTTGCTTCATGAGTGTTTCTCAGTGCAATATGAGTACCCAACGAAGCTGCCACTGAGAAACTCATCCCTCGAATTTCCTAAAGGCGTCAACTTTTCAAGCCTTCCACGCATAAAAAATGCAAGGTCTGAGTTTACTAGGAACATGAATCATATATGCCCATTGCAGCAAAGGGAATCAGGAATGAACAAGGTGCTCCTTTTCTCACCCCTTACATTTACACTAATGTATAAAATTATCACATTACCCTCGTCTAATGCATTCCCGAGTGTCTTAAAAATTATTTAATCATTCTCTTAGTGTAAATCTCATTTTGTTTTCTCAAATTATAAACTTATTTTAATTCCTCAAATTCCACCCAAGAAAATTAATTTTAAAAAAATGAGAATAATTTAAAAAACATCATTTGAAGATATCAAAGTGCTAATAATTAATTAAAATCCACTTAATTTATACTAATTAAAACTAGTTCTATTGATGAGAGTAGAAAAACTTTAATGAACGTAGCGTGAAAAACAACTTTATTAATATAGGATAAAATAATTCTTATTAATATTGATTAAAAAATATTTAATCTATAAATTTTTTTGTTAATATCAACTAAAATAATTTTAAAGGTTAAAAATTATCTGGCAATTAAAAGGAAATTTTTTATATTAAGAAAAAAAAATTAACTAATATTTATTGAACAGTAACACTAGCTTCTCTCGACAAAAAAATTCATTACATTAAAAAAAACAATATTAAGTGAATGTCATCTAAATGAAATAGAGACCCAATGATATCCTAACTAAAATCATTTAATGAAAAAGCATAAATATAACATACATATATTCATAATTGTTTTTGCCAATAAATATAAAGGATATAGATTTGAAAGAAAAAATATTTTCAAATTTCAAATTTTTTTGTGAATTTAACATTACTATCATAAATTTTTAAATTTTCTTTTTAAATTAGATATCAAAATAACATATTTATAATAAAAACACTTCAAATTTCCAGCCTAATATCCAAATATTTATAAGAAATTTTCTATTTTAAAATTCATTTTTTTAATTTGTATTTCAATGACGAAAAATTATATATTTTCATCGATTTAGTTAACTGGAGTTCATTTTTGTAACATTCTAACAAGATTTATTTCCCTAATTTAAAGTATTGCATAATTAATAAGAAAACATAAACAAATTATATAAAATGTATTTATAAAACCGTAATAAGAAAAACAAAACCAAATTTCTGACTTATAAATATTATTTTATTAACTAAAAGGATTTATATAATAACAAAAATATATATCTAAAAACACCTTTATTTTGTCTAAGAAACTACCAGTGTTGCTTTAGTGTCATCTATAGTATTATTTATCCAATATAACATATATGATCATTATAGGTGTACAAACCACAACACACCACAAATGATATAAGTTAAATGATATAAGTTAGTGTAGTTTTAGAACTTATAAGTTTTGAATAAAAGAAAGCATGTAGTTTTGTATAAATACAGTTATAAATAATTATATAACTACATTAATTCATACAACCCACGTTCAAATATAAAGGTTTTCATAATGTTTAAATATAAATTTTATAGCTCATTCATTTATAAGTAACCACAAACAAACTCTCCTATTGACTTGCACCCTAAGATCTTGCACCTACTTATGTTTTATTACTCCTACTTAACAAGAGCTAATATTTATAACGTATATTTGTTGCTCCTTAGTGTATAGAGTTTAATAGGTAAATTCTATATACGAGGAGTTTGACCATTGTCGACACTCTAGATAAAAATCTCTCTCACAATAAATTATTTTTATCTATATGAATTCAATTACTAGTAAAGTCAAGATGGTCTCATTTTACTCTTTATCATCAGTACACCCCACACAAAACCAACTCACGGTAACATTCTCACCCTAGAAATAACTATCTCATCATTTCATTCATATACATCTTAATTCACAGTCAAGATTACCAAATTGGTAAATACAGTCAGTCATAAGAAAAACGGTGTAAGAAAAACATATCACACATAGTTCATTAATCATATTCTCATATAATATTGAATCATCACACCATGTCATATATATGTATTCTACCTCAATTCAAACTCATCTCATAAAATAACTCACCTATATATTATTTATTTCAATTTACATGTTAAGAATTCATCATTTACTTATATTGCATTAGCATAATACGATATTTCCATTAAGTATACAACAATTGTGAAAACATTTCTCTATTCAGAGACCTCTAATTGATAATCTTAATGGTCAAAATGAAAAACCATGTATCAAAATTTTAACTCGATCCAACAAAACCAAAATTGAATTTTTACTAAGAAAGCCCAGGAGAAAAAGCACAAGTGGCACCAAACACCCTAAACTTGGCACCTAGTGCCAGATCCCCTATTGTTCATTTTCAAGTGAACGATTAGTGCGACCAAGGGACTGCCGAACACCTTGGGTTTTTGGAACTCACTGTGAAGTGAGCACCCAACAGTCTCAAAGTTATGCTCGACTCTTTGGACAATTGGAGCTTGCTAATTTGAGTTTTGCGAGTGGTGCCTAGCGGTTCTATAGTACTGCCTAACATTGTATCAAAGTTTTTAACTCCTAAATTGAATTGACTAACTAGCAACTTGACTATCTATGCAACTTTAGTTTCTTTTCATTTTAAAATACCTTATTCTAGTTCAAAATAATTATCAAATAGATTAAATTGGATAATCCTAGCCAAATCAATTCAGCTCATAGACAATAAAAAAAACAACCCATAAACAACAATCCAAGAAAAAAAGATCACAATTCAGTTATTATACTAAAAAAATTACTGATGCAATTCAACATTTGACAGGTAAATTCATACCATATTATTTGCAAACACTTTACATTGGTCGTCATAGTTTAATTCCTAATCAAACAAAACTAAGAAAAAGGTGTCTCACACAAGTTGTACCTCACACAAGTTGCTCTACATCAGAGAACTTTAATAAACAATCATAACATATTCTTATAATACTAAATGAACAAAGATTCATATTGAGTCCTTAAAAGTCACATGCAAGCCCATAACATCCCACATACAACAAGTTTTCTTAAAAGATAAAAAAGAAAGAAAAAAAAAACTTACTTTAATCAAAATTTAAATCAAGTAGAATTGTAGACTTCAACATTACGAGTCCATTATGATTTCTGATTATCAACCAAATGAATAATGAGTCAAAGAACTAGAAAAAAGAATGAATTTTTTTGTTTAAAAAACTTTAAAAAAACAATTATTATTATGAGATGAAACTCAATTATTAAAAACCTATTTATAATTAAATTTTTATAATAAGATAATCAAATATCATCATTAAAACCCCTAATATTCTTAAATTATTTTCTAAATCTTTAAAGTTTCATTTTATAGATATAGTATATTTTTCAGTGTTTGTTTTAAAAATAAAATAAAAGGGTTTACTGAAAAATAAAGTCACTATTTATCACATCGTAAATAAGTGAACGTGCTTCAACTTTTTGCATAATAATATTTTTTTTTGTTAACAATAATTCAATCTTTTATATATTGAGTAGCTTGATAATAATTTGAAGATTATTTGATTATGAAATTCAAATTTTCACCATTTAGTCATTAAAATAATAATAATAACATATTTTTGATTTTTCTTTTTCTCATCAGAAAACCTTCCCCAAGGAGACCCTTTATCCCCATATTTATTGTACAAGTAACGTATGCAGAAGTGATTCAATAAAGGTTCAAGGTGGTGTTTGGCAAAATGTAAGGTCCACTATTATTTATTTATTTAATTTCCTTATTATTAAAAACATTCTTTGCATCTCTTTATAAAATCTGTTTAGTTTAAGAAATGAAAATGAACTTACAAATGTCTTTCAAGAGGGGTTCTACGATTTTTTTTTATAATATAGTTAACCTTTTCAAGATATATGAGACGTAAATTAATGTATCTTATTGAACATGAACGTTATTAAATTAATATTTTTATTTTAAATCAAATTTATTATCATTAGCATAACATATTTTTAACTTTTTAATTTATTTTTAATTATTATAAAAAACAAAAAAATAATCTTGCGCACTACAGGGATCAAAATACTAGTTCAATAAAATCGAGGGGTGCAGAGAGAAGATGAAACCCATTACAAAGTGGGCTTTGATTTCCACCAGTGTCAATGTGGCCGAATGGGTTCTTAACCCTAACCTTTCTTCTTTTTCTTCTTCTTCCTTCTTCTCACCCTGAACGGTGAAGTTACCAGCCGGAGCTCGTAGCAGCACTACATTTCTACTCTAACAAAATGGGTACGTTTCAATTTTTTCGTTTCTCTCTCTCGTAACGTGATGTTGCTGATTCATGTGAGTTTGCGTAGGTATTTCTCGTGATTCCATGCACAAGAGGCGTGCCACTGGAGGCAAGAAGAAAGCTTGGAGGAAGAAGAGAAAGCAAGTTCTTCTAACCCTAACTGATTATATTTCATCATTAATTGATTGCATTTTTTAATAGTCAATTGCATTTGTTTTAGCATTTGTTTGGATCTAATCAGAATTAGAGTTGAACAGTCAGTATTTAAAGGATTATCAGACTGTAACCCTAATTTTAACCAAAGAAGTTTCCTTTTTTATTTTTGTTATTCTGTTTTTTTATCAATGATTATTTTGTGTTTAATGGGGTGTGTTTGATTTCAGGTATGAGCTTGGGAGGCAGCCAGCAAACACAAAGCTGTCAAGCAACAAGACAATTAGGAGGATTAGGGTTCGTGGTGGGAATGTGAAGTGGCGTGCTTTGAGGCTTGATACTGGGAACTATTCTTGGGGGAGTGAGGCTGTTACTCGCAAAACAAGGATTCTTGATGTGGTGTACAATGCATCCAACAATGAGCTTGTTCGGACTCAGACGTTGGTCAAGAGCGCCATTGTTCAGGTCGACGCAGCGCCCTTCAAGCAGTGGTATCTGCAGCATTATGGCGTTGACATTGGTCGCAAGAAGAAGATTGCAGCTTCTGCCAAGAAGGAAGGAGAGGTACATGTTAGTTGAATTGTTTGCTAATACATGGTTCTTTACATTTAGTTTCACTTTTAGTTGCTTTCCTAGCTGAATTGTAGTATGAAATTTAGTGCCCTTTAGCCCTGTGTCAATGTTGGTTGTTGAAACTTGGAAGCCTGCATCTTTTTCTTTATTGTGAAGACTTTAGTTCTTCAATTTCAACATGATTGTGTCGTCCAGTTTCATTTGCTCAGTTTTATCTGTGTGTGCATTGTGCACTTCGTCCGGTTATGATACACTTTTTTGTCATTCCACTAATTCCCGTTATTTTATGCATTGTCCCTGTATAACTGTTTTACATAGGTATTCAATGAGATTTGATAAACTTATGACATCATCTATCTATTTCATAAATATCATGTGGTTACATTACACTTTGAAATATTAAATTTTGGTTGGATACGTATGCGATGACTTTTCACTGATAATGTATGTAACCAAACCTTATTTTATAATTCTGATTCTGAAGTATCCAAGGTTATGAAGTCTCACTGTAGAAAATAAAATCTAAAATGAGTTCTGGGACTGGATTGCTAAAGCTACATGATATAGTTAATTTTTTGGAGCATCATTTTTATTTTTAAATGAGTTCTTCTTTAAAAAGATGTTGTATTTGCATATTGTTTATTTGCATCATTCACTCATTCAGTTGTTTTTTTTATAGGATGGTGAAGCTGCGACCGAGGAGGTGAAGAAGAGTAACCATGTCTTGAGAAAATTGGAAAAGCGGAAACAGACCCGGGTGCTTGATTCTCACATTGAAGAACAATTTGGGGGTGGTCGCCTTTTGGCTTGTATCTCATCGCGACCTGGCCAATGTGGCCGTGCTGATGGGTATGTTACTTGGTACTTAATGAGCTAACTAACCGAGATGTATCTAGTGCTTGTTCCCGGTCAGAGTAATTTTTAAAATTGCTTTTCATAGCTTGAACAATCATCCCATTTGCAACTTGCAAGAACATAGATATGATGACCTAGAATTTAAAATATGTTGATAGGGCCGAAAAACAAGGGATTTAGTCTGTCGAGTGTTAGCACCTTGATATCATGCTGTGTTGAGGAGATCTTCAAATGGTTGTGGTTACCTCTGGTAAAATGAAATTGCAAGACATGGATGCAAATGAGTAGCTTTTCTTATTAACAATTCTAGCGTAAATAATATATTAACAGTTAATGAGATGCCCGCTTGTTAAGTTCACATGCTTGACAGTTTAGTCAAGTGAACAATATATCATTTTCAATTAATTGTTCTGACTGTTGGTGCTTAATGTCTTCTGAATTTTTGGCAGATATATATTAGAGGGCAAAGAGCTGGAATTTTACATGAAGAAGCTTCAAAAGAAGAAGGGCAAGGGCGCTGCATAAGATATTGGCTATCTTCCTACTCTTTGTATCAGAATTTCTTGATGGTCTTTACTATCCAGTCAGATCATTAGTTTTGCTAGGAAGTATACTCTCTTGGGGAGTGAATGTTTTATTGTGTAAACATGGCCAGGAACTTCTATTTCTTTACTTAGAGTGAGTTCTGTTTAAATTGATTACCCTCCACCATCACAATTTTATAGTACATTGACTCTCTCATCTTGTATTTTCCTGAACAATGTCGAAAAGTTTTGAATTTTGTTTCTAGCCCTGGGGGTTGAATTGGTTCCGCTTAGTCAGTGTTCTGCGGAAGGATCTTCGGATTTTATGCCCCAAAATGAGAAAGATTATAAACCTTTAAATCAAGTCATGGGCATTTTCCTTTAGAGCAGGCTTATTTAAGGGAGAAAATGATTAAACTCTCTTTGGAATTTCAGTTTTAATTTAGTTTATAAATTTAATTGTGTCCGATGAGTCCTAAAATGAGTAGTTCTTTCCCTTCTTACCTTCCCATTCGAGACGGAATATGTTACGAGTCAAGCTTTTTGGTATGGAATGAGAATTTTTTATCCAATAGATTAGTCCTGGATTTATTCTTTTCATTTCATGTTGATAGATAGGTTTGTAGATTCAAGACACTTATTTACGTTGTTGGATTCAGATATTTGAATGTTCATAGTGTGAATACGGGCTAATTTGGTATTTTGGTAACAAAAAAAAAACGTACTTGAAATATGGTTGTGGGATTTAGATTGGTTGAATGGATCACATATTTTAGGCCTACGTTTACTAGCTGATGTGCTGGTTTTTCAAACAGTGTGGTGTATGCAATATCTGTTACCAGTTGTATTTTTCAAACAATTTGGAAAAGTAATGTTGTTTTTGTTCATGGGATAACTTGTTATGGAACAAGTACCCATTAGCAAAATCGAAAGTACCAAAGGACTAAAGAAATTCTGCTTTACATCTAAAATAAATTTGGATAAAACTTCTAGGTTGGTTCTTTAATCAGATATTTTATAAGGATACAAGTAACATGTACTTATACATGGCATACAACTAGAAATAGTTTGCATTGTATAAAAAATATCGTTATTTTGATTGAATAAAAAAAATGTAAACAACTTCAATATTCCTAACAAATAAACTGCTACCATAGCGAATTACTATAATGTAACATTTCAAATATTTATTAGCTTTTAGAAAATTGTTTCAAAGTAGTGCAGTAATCAGTAATAAGAAATCGCCGCGTTAGACCTTGTTCTTTTGAGTGGATTTGAGAGGATTTGAAAGGATTTGAAGATAATTTTTTTTGTCGTTTTTTTTTTGAGCGAATTTGAAGATAAATGAAAGTGAATTTGAAAATAATTTTTTTTAATTTGTCACGTCAATACAATTCTATACTAATTCTCACATTTTATTTTCAAATTCACTCTCATTTACCTCCAAATTCGCTCAAAAAAACGCCAAAAAAAATTATCTTCAAATCCTCTCAAATCCCCTCAAATCCACTCAAAAGAACAAGGTCTTAAAGAGGACTAACAGTACAATTTATTGATTTTTGAGAGATTATTAGTGAGAGGTTTTTAGAAGACTGGGTAGTATTTCCGAAAGCAGTTTGGTCAAATTCTATTTTCATTATAGTTCACTGTTGTAAAACCAACTTTGGACTATACTCAATAAAAACAAATTCCAAAGCTAAAGCCATCACCTGCTTACACTAACTACTATATGATTTTATGTATCCATTCTTTGTCCTATTTTTCATATGCTGGGACAACACAAAAGCCTTACCAAAGACTTTGACGATGATATATAGAAGAACCATAAGTTGATATGATCATTTGTATGAACAAGGGAAGTTGAAGCCTCACAAATAGAGCAACTGGGACACATGCCAGAAGAGCAATTGGGATTGACACCCATTCCACTCTCTCCCTTAGCAACAAATCCAGGGCTGCACCAAATGCTATCATTGTAGTTACTATGGAAAAGAACAAAGAAGCCAGACCCAATATTATTCTCTCAGGTAATCTCTTGAGAAAATCTTCTTCTGCATAATGTGCAGTTAGAATTGATAAAAACATCAAAAGGGAAACCATGGAGGAAAACAAAGCTAATGTATCTGACACAACGAACACCATGAATGTGTTATCTGACAAGAATAATGGAAATCCTTTGTCTTGGTTGTTTCCTCCAGGTACAGTTATAGAAGCAGCAAAGACAACTGTGGCAATAAGAGTTGCCACCAACATACAAGAGTTTGATGTATCCTTCATCCAAACCTTTGCTTCTTCAAGCAAGGGCTTATGCTCTTCCCTGAACAATTGCCAAGGTGTTTTACCATCTATGTTTTTAACTTCTTTATGAAGAGGGTGATCCCATTGCTCCACTTTCTGTTGGACATCATAAAGTGTTATCAATATTTTGGTATAATTGATCTTCAAAAGTTTATGACAAGGGAGTTATGAGATTAAAAAAAACCTTAAACCACTGCAACTCTTTTTGCATTTGAAAAGCTGCACCAGAAATTGATGCCTGTTGAGGAGAAGCAAACCTTGCTGCTAAATGTGATGTGGTGTTTTGTGATTCGTCTAATGCCAGGATTAAAAACTTGCAAACTATAGGCATATTGCATACAAGACTAAAAACCTTCTCTTGCCGATACTTGATGGCAGTTTGAGCTACATATCCTTCATTTGGCAAGTGACTCCAAACCAAATCAGGAAAAAACTGGAAACTGATCCTTAAAATTTCAACTATGCCAGATGATGAGGCGTTGAAAACAATGTCTGCACTCACAAAAGACTGCCAGAATTCGGTGTCATTCAAATTTGAAACCTGTGTGCAAACGAGTTCCACCAATCTCGCAGCAGATGCGTGTCTCAACTTTGTCTCTCTCACTAGCTTTATTCCAGGAACTGCACATGAGTTTTGTAATTTGTTTTAATTGAAGTATAACAATTAAAATGAGAAAACTAGAGTTTAAGGATTTGTGCAATAGCGCTATGCTGGACAAGTACAACATACCAATACTCTGAATCCCATCCCATATTGTACTTCCAAAATAAGATTGGTAATGGCTTGAATTCCCAAATGAATCCTTCAAATTTCCTCTCAGATGACTTGGTGGTAAAAAATCAAGTTCATCTGGCATACCTAATATAGTTGAAGAGGAAAGTTTAAGGTGTATTGCAATGAAGCTTGGTAAGAAAAGAGAATAATATCAAAAATAGGGTAGTTACAGTGGTAAATGCATCTTTTCCAAAACCCAAGTTTATTTCCACTTTGAAAGTCCGAAGGCAATTTTGACAAAACATTAAGTATAATGCTTCCTTTTGAATCTGAGAGAGTAGCCAAATCTGGGTAGCGCTGAAGAAGATATATAGTGACATCTGTACATGGGAGACCCAAAGTAATAGTTATCAATATAAACAACAGGGTACAATTTGCAAACATATGGATAATAATATGCTTTATATGCTTGGTTATTAAAGTAGCATAATTGATGATTATTCTAAAGCATGAAGCAGAGTGTGTTTGGATGTTTGAATAGTTCGGTAATCTTGTAGTACATTACTCTGACTTTTTATGGTGCACTAGATACATAAAAAGTATAGTGCTGAAAGCCTGAAACTACTATTACGCAAATTCAAGAGTTGAAGAACGGCACTATACTTCATTAGTTCAAGCAAATTCTACATACACTGAAAATGCCAAGAAAACTTAAGGATCTGTTAAGTCTAAGAAAAAGTTTTGTTTTCACAAATAATTATAAAATTGACAGATTCCTGATTTCAAAGTTTTGCATAAGGAATGGTGAAAACAGAAGTCTGTTGTTTTTACCATTTTTGTCACAACTTTATTTTAATGCCATTTTCACAATTTTCTTTAAAAAACTTTGAAAATAGAGAACAAAATGAAAATTGATATTTTCATGAGGACATAGTTACTAAAGAGTTTAATTTCTATGCACTATCATTTAGTACTGTCAACCTGTTAGAAATCGCTACTTTCAAACCAAACTGGTCTACGATTTGAATATAAATCATTTAAGTCATTGTCTCATGGATCAGGAATCCTGAAAACACACACACACATATACATACCATTCAGCAAAGTATTTTAAAATTAAGTCATGTGATATGGACGGAAAGTAATGATGGCAGATTCTCAGTCAAAGCAACTAATGAAGCGCTAGATTGGTGTTCAGGTTGGTAGACATCATAGAAGGGAACACTAATGCAATTGATGGGGTGGAAGCAGAAATCAAAGTCCAAATCATTTAACTTGTGTAATTATTTTGGTATGTGAAACGGAAAAAGGGAACATGCAGAAGTGTTGTAGCCAGATGTACTTATTGATGAATATAGGTGGTAGAGATGTATTATGTGGGAGTCTGGTTAAAGTTTATGTATATCCGTTAGGCATGGAAGTGATGAGAGGGTTAGGAAGAAATTTAAAGATAAGAGCAGCAGAGTTGTTAGTTGTTCAGGGGGAGACTTTCGAGGAAAGTCTATATACTGTTATCTTGTGGGATGTTGAGTGCAATCTTTTAGTTGTGATGTTTGTGACAGGGTAAACCCTGTGAGAAAGGAAATCAGTTTTTCCTTGAAAGCTTTGGCTTGTTCAGTGTGTAAAGTGAAATACATTGCAAGGATTTGATCTTTTGCTTCTTTTAGTCTTTTCCTTTCATTACTTTCTCTGGGATCCTTACAATATGCCACTGCATCTGCATTGTATATAAATACACTGAAACCAGATAAGTATCCTGCTTTACGTTTTGATATGTATGTCACACTTTCTAGGTACCTATCATGCAAAAAAAGAAAATTGTTTACCATGAAATCCTGCAGCAGTAAGCAAAGCAACAAGTTGAGCAGCAGAAGGACCAGAGAAAGGACAACCAGGTCTCTCATCTGTAGTATTCAAAACAAAGTACCACACCATTTCTTTGCATTTAGCGGAGGTAATACTGTAGATAAGTGGTGTGAATCCTTTAAAGTCAGTTAGTTGTGTCAGAGAAGGATTTTTAGTGACCAATGCCTTGGCAGCACTTCTGCTTTCCCCCATTGCAACATAGTGCAGGCAAGTACAACCCATCAAGTCCAACTCTTCAAGCACTTTTGTAGGAACATGTTGCACCAACTTCTCAACAATTTGCCACTGCCCTCCTACAGCTGCAACATGCAGTGCAGTCCTACCGAGTATTGTGATCTTCGCAGTCCATGCACTTGGGTCATTGTCAAGAAAAGCCTTTGTAGATTGCCAATCTCCTTTTAGTATTGCTATGTGCAACGGGTGGTAGTAACTGTGATTAAATCCCCTAGCTTTGGATGATAAAGGCAACAACATGAGTTCCTTTGGAAGCATCAAAACACCACAAATGCTAACAATACACACTCTGTAAATACACTCTTTCCTATTGATTGAAATTTGTTGGAAAAAGCAAAGTTATGTAGCACTCACTCCTTAGTCATTCAACATTACTCAAAACAGAACCTAATGAGAATGTTTTTATGTCTGTTCTCACTGTGAATGTATAAACTATGAATCTTATCGTCTGAATCAAGTATGCTTTTGAAGAACATCTGGGTATATCATGGTTTGAAGCAAGCTTGCAAGTAGAAGAGTTGAGCTTTTCAATAAAGGGAGATTAGACATCAAATTGAAAAGAAAAAAGGGAAGATTACATTTTTCTCTCTAAACTTCAGTTTTGACATTTATTTGATAAAATGGTATTTTTCTTTTTTGTTCAAACTATATTTTAGTCATAAATTTTGGTTTTTTTATCCCTAACATTAGTCTGATTATATATGAGTAGAGCCCTGTATTTGCATCATCGAGACTAAGTGTTTTTTTTATTTCCTATCTCTAATGCTACAGTTTAATTTATCAACATAGTGATTGTGAAACTGTAGGAACACATACTGAAGAAAAATTTTACTTGTATCAAAATCTAGAAACATGAAAACTATGAAACATAAATGTTCATATATAGCAAATCACATACCGAACTCACTAGCAGCAGCCTTAACATCATCAACAGACATGAGTGAACTTCAATGCCTTTTTAACAGTCAAACTTTGTAGTAGTTTGGCAAGCTGAAATTTGGTTCAAGGGTTTACTAGTTGCTGCAGAAAGGTAATGGAAGCATGGAGAAGCAGGTTCCTTCTGCAGTTTCAGATATATGAGTTGGAGATGCTTTCCCTGAAGACAACGCAAAGTTAGAATCACTTTCTAACTCAGCTAAAACTGCAACAGTTTGCAAATCCTATTCTTTACATTTAGAATGAAAGGGCAGATGGAACACTTCAAGTAGAGGTTCTGTCATTTCACACAATGAATTCTTGTTTTTACATTTCTTTATGTATATATCATTCACTGTGGAGTATTAATATATTTGTTTGTGTAAACTTTTTAAAATCACGAAAAAGTAGAGTACTGGTTGATGATTCTCAGTTCCACCACCTCAACTTTTCTGTGATATGTACATACATTGGACAATATGCTTTGCCTAGAAAGGAGTAAAGTTGCACATGTCTTCTTAATATCATGTTAGGATGTTTGTCAAATATGTGAATTTTGAGTTTTGTTTAAGATATTTTTTATTATTTTTATTTACCCAAATAATTCATCTCTTACTTTATTCATTAAATATGTCAATTAATGTTTTTTATATTTATTAAATAAAAATAAAATAATTAAATTATTCAGAAATATAAATATTAATAAATTAAATATTTAAATTAATTAATTAATAATATTAAATATCTATTTTTTTAAAAGTTTAATCAAAACCAAAATAATTTAAAAAATTAAAAATATTTTAAAGTATATCAAAACAATTATAGAAAAAGCCAATCGAGGATCACTTAGAAAATCAATGATTTCTCACCTGAAAAAGTTGAAAATATTAACGTAAGGTGAGAAATGGATTTGGGGGTAATCATTTTAAATAAACAAAATAGATGTCTTATTTAGATAAATAAAAATAAAAAATATATTAAAAAAGTTGTAAACTTTGGTTTTGGTTCTTTAAAATAAGTATTTAACATATGGACGATATAGAATAAATATTTATATAATTAAAATTATGATAATACATATTTTTTAATATTTTAATTAAGATTGATAATTAGTCAATATCTTTAAATATATGAATCATACTTTGAATTTGTGATGAATAATTTAAATTGTGCTACGAGATTATTTCTAACTTTGCGCTTCTTTTCATTTTCTTCTTAAAGAAGGTTCAAATTGGCTTTTACTAAAAGCCCCTCTTTTAAAATTAATTACTAGCCCAATGTTACTTTAATAGCATATATAGACTTTATGTTTTCCTTAGATAATAGACAGGAACCCTTCACAGAGAAGATACCAGTTAAATCCTTCATGGAGAAGATGACCAAAACATAAGAAGCAGTGGATCTCATATACGGGAGAAGCCAATTTGAGTTTATGTTTGCACGAAATGATTTGAAGAAAAACAAAGCAAATAGCTAGAAACATTGCAGAAACTCATCAATTTAAAACACACTCTGCATTATCTTGATTCTCTTTGAATATGCTCAGAATTTGACAAGGATCACAGAAAAACTAACAATCTTGGAAGCAGAAATTTGAAACTTCATAGCAAAGTGCAACTATAAACATATTGAAACTCACCTACTGCTATAAATATTGAAGATGGGACTGCTGATAGCATTAACAACAATTTTTATTCTTCACTGATTTAGGAATTAAATAAAGGGGATCAAAGGAGCAAGTATGAAAACCAAAGCTTTCTGAACATCTCTTCTGCTATTTTTTAAATCCAAGGTTACTAAATGTCTTTCTGACCATTGCGAGCCTGAGCATACTGGTCTCTCGTAGATACCTCTGTTCTCCTATCATGAGAAACACTGCGAGTCAATTTCTCATACGGGGAAGTATAACCATACTTCTTTTTCAACGTCTCCATAACAAATTCAGAGCGAGCTTTGGTTCGAGCTTGTTGGGGTGCAACATTGACATAAGAAAGGTGCCCCGCAGCAGCAAAAAATGCAGCACCAGAGAGGAAGCAAGTTATGGTCATGGCAAGTTTCTTGGGTGTTGAGGGAAAACACAGCACCATTTTCTCAACCACCTATCACATACGTCATCAGCTATTAAACAAACAAACATCAATAACTCACAATAAACTTTAAGGATCCAACTCTTAAACTCTTAATGCTACAAATGAATTAACCATTTCAAAGTTTATACCATGTGAAGCCACGCACAAAACAATTAGTATAACCACATTTCTGCTAACAAAAATGCACCTTTTATAACTGCATAATAGTTAATACAGAATCAAAGATGGTAACTGGCACAGTGTGTAACTAATCCTTTTATTAAGAATCGCAGAAAGAAAATATTGTGCCAATTTTGTACTTAAATAACAAACAAAATGAAATAGAAACAACCAGACCACCCCCATACGGAGGGCATTTTATCAAACATGTAGAGTGCATCATAACGGACGAGAAACAAAGAATTAGCTCAGAAGCAACGTGATTCTACCAAACCATAAGCGAATTGGAAATGGCTTCACTACGAAAATCAGATGTTCAGGGCTTATCAAGCAGAACATAAATTTAATTGTGAGCATTGTGTTGTTAGAAAAACGAAAAAATATGAAGAATTTAAACATGCAATGGAATTTGTCTATATTTATTGAAAACTGATAAACTGGGTACCAGAGTAAGTGATGAATCACGTTTTGGGTTGTGGTTGTTGGTAATATATGAACACTTCTATCACTGAGCTACTGTGCTGAAATGACCATTTTTTCTGTCTTATTAGATGGTGAAACTGTCTACACACCACAGTGCTTCGTGTTTAATCTGTATTTAAATTATGATTTAGTCTCTTAATTTATTTAAAAGTTTATTTCATATTAAAAAATTTGGGAAATCTAAAGTGTATGGTTGTATTGTATCTAAATATGTTGATTGGTTGATCTACTAATGTTTAAAAGCATTATGTACAGCAAATCGTAAACTATGAATATTCAAATTAACGTTACTCTTAGTATAATAAAAGAGTATAAACAAGTGGATAAAGTTTTATACGAGAGTGACTTGTTTATATAAGATCAATTTATAAAAGTGTTGTGATTAGGAAATAAAATAATTTAATAATTCTTTAGAGATTTAGAAAAAAAAAAACAAATTTGGAAAGTCACTTATTTTAAGAAAAGAAATAACTAATTTTATTATTATAATTAGGGGTGGGCAAATAGAACCACTATACTACTAAAATCTGTATTGAACTAAAAATTAATTTGTATAAACTGAACTGAGCTGTAAAATAGACAAACTAACTGAACTGTTTTTGGTTTTATCAAATTGGACTCAACTGAACTATACTAAAATTGTACTAAACTACAATATAAACTAAACTGAATTACTAACTATATTAATTTTAAACTGAATTGTACTAGTTTTTAAAAACAATACATGTTGTTTTTAATTGAAATTTATTTTAATATTTATTTTATTATTCATAAGTGTCTTACAAATTAACTTTTTAATTATTTGATATTATTATTTTCTATTTTATTTATATTTATTTTATTATTATATGTGTATGGAAATTATTTTATTATTTATTTATTTATTTTATTTTATTTTATTTTTTATTTTTTTATTAATATTTATTTTGTCATTAATATTATTTTACTTTTATATTTATTTTTTTAATTTTTTATTTATATTTTTTTGTTTTATATGTGTATATAATTTATTTTATCTTTTTATCTATTTATTTTATTTTAAAATAATTTTTTATTTATATTTATTTTGTTGCCTCATAAAATTGTTTTATTAATCAATTATTTATTATTTATATTTTATTATGTAAAAATTAAACTAATATTTATTAATTATTATAATATAATAAAAGATGATACTAGAAAAGTTATCTTAATAAACGTTTGTTAATATTTTTTTGTCATTTGATATTTCTATAATATTAATTATTTTTGCTATATTACTATTTTTTTATGATATTTCATTATATTGTCATTTAATAAAATTTAACGTTAAAAAGTATATTTTAGTTTTAGTCTGTAAAATATTATCATTTGAAAATAATAATATTGATATTTAGTTTAATGTAAGTTGATTTTTAAAATAAATAGTTATTTTAGTGTGTGGGTTTACAAACATTTTAATATCATTAAAAGTTTTTTTAACATATTTTTACATATTTAATAATATGCTAAAGAATATAATATATTTAAAGTATTATTTTTTTTATATAGTCTTTTTTTCTTTTATGATTTCTATTACTTAATCATTTAATAAAATTAAATTTAAAAAAATATATTTTACTTTTATTACTTAAAATAATATTATTTAAAAAGTAATATATGTTTATTGATAAAAAAATATAAAAATTTGTGATAAAAAAAATTTGTCTTAAAAATTTTATTATTAATTTTTAATGTGAACGATTTTTTTATTAATGTTTTATTATTAAATAAAGTTTAAATTCAGTTTTTAAAAACTAAACCATAAAATAGTATACTGAACTTTTAGTAAAAATGGATCAATTTTTTTAAGTATAATATAGTATAGTTAACTATAATACAGTACATATCAATTATTTTTGTCCAACCCTAATTATAATCAAGTTTATAACCATTTTTGGTTTTATGGTCATTTTAAAAAGTTGGAAGAACACAATAAAAAATATTACTATATATAAAAGATATTATATATGTGGTGGTCTCTTTGAATTAGGAGAATAATCATACTTCGAATATAGAAATTGTGGATTTACTAATTTTTATTTTTATCAAAATTACATATTTGTACTTTTATTAAATTTGGCAATTTATATTTTTATAAAATAATAGTTATTCTTATTTGGTAAAAGTAATGTAGTCTGCAAAAAGACAAAAAAAAGTTATACAAATGTATATTCTCTTTAATATAACAGTATAGGTTAAATAAAAAAAAATATTAGACTTGGATTATGTCAAGTATAAACAAATAAATTAGTTGCATACAGTAAGATAAATTAATATATAATATATTATTATTAACTACACGACATTACTAATAAATGTATTCATGCAGCTAAATGATCAACCTAAAGGATTTTGCTGCCATATGGCATTTTCAGTTACAACAATACTATGAAATACCATATTAAGTAATAAAAAATAATAAAATCACAGAAACATAAAAGAAACATACATGAAGCATTTATTATTTGATTAATCCAAAAAATCATTTAGTTTTGATAGTTTAACATAATTCCAGCATACTCTCATGACATGCATAAACAAATCCCTAATAAGAAATCCAAATGGATATTTGTCTTCCCAGTAGTAAAAAATTCAATGCACGAACAAATGCAATTTGTATGGTCATCTCAAAATTAGGTAACATTATATCAGTATCAAAATTGATAAAAAATAAAATAAAAATGAGCTAAGGGATAAGCCTATTGTACAATGTACAAGTGAAAAATTTGA